AATGTGCAAAGAATGAAGACAGAATATGGTCTGAAGTGGTGCTGAAATACTGCAGCTGCGATGTGTGACAATAACCATTTTATAAGAGACATAAAAATCTCAGAAATGTTCACTGAACACTACAGTGCAGCATAAGTCATCCACATCTTAACATGAGTACATTTTTTCAGCTGTGTTATGAAAAAGATCACAGATTAAACAAGCTAAGTAGAGAGAACAACTCAGATAAAGCTTCAGAAAAGACTGTCATTCTCTGGACAAGTAGAAAAATACCATGCAAATCAAAACGCACACTCACTAAAAGCTACCACTGATGACAACTGCAGAGAGACTTCTGGTCAAAGGGTGTTCTATAGGTTCCATTTGGAAAACAATAAAAATAATACAGATACGTAACTTACTTGCACATGAATGAAAGGCCTTTGTTCCTGCTGCATCTCTTGGCACATTGCTCAGTGGTATTTAACAGCTTGGTTTTTACTTCCAGTGTTTTGTTTACTTTAATGAGCATCAATTCTCCTGTTTTTTTGTAGTCATGAAGAGGATTTCTCCTTTTTCCTTTACATTCTAAGAAAAAAGCAAAAAAGAAAGAGGAACAAACCCAGAAAAAAAACCCTCCACAAACACTATAGAGTGCTGAAATCAAATATGGCATTAGATAGGAATAATATTTATTTGGAATTATAGGAGCACTGATACCTGAAGCTTAGAAAGAATCACAAAAATAAGGGAGATAAATATTGGAGAAGAATTTATTCTTTTAGATGGTGATCTCCATTCTTAAAAACAGAAATTGTAGAAAGGATAGCAGAATTATTTTCAAATAAAGACTTATTTAATGCTAGAAAAGGGTAAGAGGAATGATTTTCACCCTTTGCAAAATTTTTTCAGAACCCCTAAATATGCCTGATAAGAATGATCTGAGATCTTATAAACATTCCCATGAAAAACTCCAGGTCTTCTTTTGAAGGATTGAGTTACAATCAGAAATAAAATATATAAATACTATAGGTAGAATCATTATCTTAATGTGATAAACTGTTCTTAAAACAGTAAACTTTTTATCACAAATTGTGAAAAGGAGTGGAGCCTAGAAGTAATATAAAATAATAATTTGTCTTCCCCCTCTTCCAGTGAAGATTCAGTGTGAGTGTTTTGTCCAGCTTAGGTGTGACTGAATTAGAGTTGTTTGCTCACCGAAAAGACAATGAGGGGAGGCAGAGGCCACAGTATGGAAGCAGTGTGCACTGATGCAAAGACTTCTGCACTGATCTCGTTTCCATGTCTCCACTGAAAGGCCCAGAGGAAGGGATGAAAAATGAAGCACGGAAGACTGGCTAGAGGTGTTTGGCTAAAGTGCAAGAGGAAAAGTCTGATATTTGCAAGAAAAACTCATAATTTTCCCAATATGTAAAGCTTGTTGGGTTGGTTTGTTGTTGTTTTTTTTTGGTTATTGTTCCATAGAAACCTGCCTGGCAGTACAGGCTCCTCCATCTTCAGTGAAGGCAGATGAGTACCACTGGAGAGTGATTCTCCCTATTCTGACAGATGAGTAACATAGGGAGGATAAATTCCCCTTTGGATCTGTTTCTCCTATTTCACTCACTGATCCCAGATGATCTTTTTGGATTAGATGGTTAATCCAGGTAAGGTTAGGCGAATGAATCCCTCCTTAATTTACAAAGTAGGCAATAATATTTTTCATAAATTCTTTCCATATAACGGTTTTCACAGCTGCCCTTTCATTTTTTTTCTCTACAGATTCTGCTACAATAATAGAACATGAATGCCAAGGATAAACACATTCACTTTTGCCCCAATCTTTCAAATATATGAAACCTCAGCCTAGTGTTTTATTATCCCAAATAGATAATTCCTCGTGCAAGTGCAGAGTACACTTAGGTCAGTTAACTTTTCCTTGGCTCGCTCTGCACCAAAGCTCAGAATAACTCTGTAAATTGCAAGAACTGAAGCTCTGAAGGAGTTACTGAGGAATCCAACTATTGTAAAGCCAAAGAGGGCTTAAGGGTGCTCCCTTTGTTCCCGATAATTAAGTGAGCTCTCATATTCACTGGATTCAGCTAAAACACACCTCTCAGTGGTGAGTTGTCCCTAAGACACCTAAAAATACACAAAGAACATTTAAATTAGATTTAATCATACTTCAGCTAAAAATAAATAAATAAATAAATAAAAGGAATAGGGTATCCCTGCTGCAATTTCTCTATAAAATAATCTTCACCTCATCTTATTCTTATTTTTTGAACTGCTGAAGAAGAACTAGTCTATTCCCCTGCAAATAATCACTCACTGTTCTAATTTCAACTACAAATATAAAAAAAAGTATTTACCTCCAAATTCATGTTATTGTTATATGAAGAAGCTTTTGATTGAAAGACCACACATTAATAGTTTTGATGCTGTGTTAGGGACTCATATCAATTCCCTTAAGCATGTTCTCCCTTTGTGTTTGTCCAGTGCCCATTCACCCAAAAGGAATCACTGTGTTTATGAAAATGCTGTGAGGAGACTCTTGCCTTAAGTATCACACCCAGTTACTGGAAGTTGTTGTGTCTACACTGAAGCTGCTTTATTTTTTGCTGTACCTGTGCTAGAGCCAAAGAGCTGCAAAAAGGATTACATTTGCTCTTAAAGACAACCACAGAAAAACAAGTCTTCTATAAAGCTTTTGTGGTAAATTTTTCAATCTATTATCTTACAAGACATATTTGTGAGTTCTGTGTTGTCTCAGCCAATACTTTTATGCCAAATGGAGGTAAGAATCTGTGCAGAAATATCCAAGTATTTTTCTTTTAGTTCTTGGTGCTAACATTTCCCATCTACTGATAAGTGCCATTATCTTAATTCCCAATGATAACAGTTTCTTAAACTCACCAGCTAACATGCAAGACTATGATTTAAAAAATCAATAAATTCTGTTCTGCCTGAAAAACACGGTTCATAGTTCTGTTGGTTTTTTTCCTTTCTTTTCCTAACAGTTGTCCAAAGAGGATTATGGGTTTGATCTTGCATTTAGCAATTCATAACAGTCTGATTTACTTTAGCCTTCAAACAACAACATTCTACGACTTGCCTATAATCCAAAAGGCAAGAGGCCAAATGCATCTGTGGTGTGACTGTTAGAACCATTAGAGTAACAGAAAGCATTACTTTTACAACTCTAATAATTGAGCTTTTTTACTTCAAATGATGTGCTTTTATTAAAATCATAAATCAAATAATGCCTTAGAAATGTTCTAGATTAAAGGTTATAATGCAATATGCTGTAACTAATGCTCCTGATTTGTGATTTCCATTAATTTAATTTTCCTAAATGTTGATTAATCAGGACTTCTGGTTATTTTGTGGGCCACATCCTCTGATGTTTCTTGTAGTTCAATACCGTATTACTACAGAAGTCTGACATTCCACTTAAATTTGAAAATAACAACAGCTGATTCAAAGACAAGGTATAGAGTCAAGTATGAAGCAACATTTTTCTCTTTAATAGAAAAAACTAACTAAAAGTATTTCTTCAGATGACATATAAAATTCCTCAAAAAGGTGAGGATGATGCCTCTTTCTAGTTCTTAACATGACAGCAACTTTGGTTGAACATGAAGAGCTCACCCATTGTCCAAAGAAATGGGAATTATCATATTTGTTCTGGTGGGATGCAACACTGGGCAAGTACCCTATGATCTCATTTGGGATTTCCTCAGTGTCCCTGCTGGAGCTCCTCCATTTTCATAAAATGTTTTAAATATTTACCAAAGAGCAAAGGTTCCTCACAGTGCAAGGTATTTATCTTGGAGCTATAAGAACCTAACCTTGGCTTCCCTTATTTACTTTATGAGGTTTCTGCATAATCTTCTCAGATACTAAGCACTAACTGAGACTACCCAAACTACAGAGCATTTGGGGAAAAAGATTTCCAACAGTACTTTTTCTTGAAGTAGTTTCAGTCTATGCCAAATCAATGATAAGAGATAAATAAAATAATCATTCTGCAGTATTTTTGTGAGAAAATTCACTAGGAGGTTGCAGTACCTTTATTCTAGAACTGATTTAACTGCAATTTTAATTATATTTATAGTTTTTAAAAATAGAACCAGTAAACCAGCAAGTACTAAGAGTAACAAACACTATAATATTCAGTATCATAGAAATTAAGACACTTTCTTGATTAACAAGAGAAACAGGTTTGAATCAGCAATGATGTTTGTATTTTGATCTCTCCTGTTCTTCAGATATTTTCTAACCCTTGGGCTAATGGAAAAATGGCAGCAAAGTAGCTTCTTTTTTCTCTTCTGGTTCTGTGTCCCACACCAAAAAGGGCTTTGGGCTCCCAGCTTATGTTCTATATCTCAATTAAAAATTCACACCTTGTAGAAAAAAAATAGGTCTGATACTGAGCTAAATGGGAGTCAAGAAATTAAGTATAAATCTAGTTTCAGGACATTTTGAGTTCAAATACCTAAGCAAGTCAAGTTTCAGACTTTCAGGTCTTAGTCTGACCACAAAAAGGGCTTTTTTTCCCTATTAGCTGTTAAGTAGTAAAAAACTAAAATAGCCAATATGATACTATTATTGTGAAAATCAGAACAGCATCCAGGATATCAATAGGCTTAAAATCCTTTGCCCATTATAATGAGACCAAAAGACTACTTGCAATGTCTACAGCAAGATTTTGCAATTAAATTATCTGACTTGATCTACCTCACTGGTAATTCCTTTCTCCTTCCTCAGCCAGTTCAACTTTTTCTAATACAAATGTACATTTGGGATTAGGAGTTCCAGCCTTACAGAGTACAACTGGAGTATACTGGCTGTCTCCCCTAGAAAAATCTCCCTTTTTATGGGCTTGCCATGGATTTTATAAAACAGGAGTTATGATGCATTCTGCATGTCAGCTTCCAAGGTCTCGAAGTTTCACCCTAGTCTATGCACTAGTTAGTGCTTTCTTAAAGAAACACATTGTGAAGTCTTGTGATAATGCGAGAAGTCTCATTTCTTTAATTTCTAATTTTCATCCCACATCACTAAGCAGAATATTGAAACTCAATAATGTATTTTCAAAATTTAATTAGAGAAATTTCTTTACATTAAAGGTTTATATTTAAATCAAGATTCTTAATGAAAACTTGAAGGTTTGGTATAGAGTTCTATTTTCTTATTCTGTTTGTTTACACTTGCAGAACTTCAACATTTTACTAAGTTGTTACTTGCTTTGTTATGCTAAACCTTCAACTGTCTAAATCAAGGACATTGGTCTATTACCACAGGTACATGTAGGTAAGTTGGACACAGGTCTTTACATTGTGGATGGCAAAAAGACATTTTCTAATTTTCAGTATTGAAAAAAAATATGGACAGTCACAGAACAGCATTGCTGTTCCATTCTGTTTGTTATAGGTCAGGGAGAAACTAAACATTTTGGGAAAAAATAATATCAAGAAAATGAAGATACCTAAATTGCTTAGACTGGTAGACACTTTCAGAAAACTGGAGGAATCAGCCATAGCCTTTCCAAATAGTCCAATAAAATACAAAATGAGATGGCACTG